ACTTTTATCTTCCCAATTCACTTCCCCATTCCATTGAGAGGGGAGTGAGGAAGCTGCTGCCTGGAGCTTGGTTGCTGGCTGGGGTTAAACAACAACAACCACAAAATCCATCAAAGAACCACAGCCATGAGAAATAGGCCACACTTTTTCACAAGATATGATCCAAAGCATTTTAATTTCAATAGATTATTGTAGAAATACTGTAAAACCTTGCATTTTTTTAACAATTAGAGGAAATGAATACCCCTATATACCACAGCAGAAAACATATCACTGCTGTTTGCTATTACACAATCAGATTTAAGCAAAAATGTTTCCTGGCCACACTTTTTCACAAGATATGATCCAAAGCATTTTAATTTCAATAGATTATTGTAGAAATACTGTAAAACCTTGCATTTTTTTAACAATTAGAGGAAATGAATACCCTTATATACCACAGCAGAAAATATATCACTGCTATTTGCTATTATATAATCAGATATAGGCAAAAAGGTTTCGGGTAAAAAAAACCTACATGACCAATATTCTGTCTTTGTTCAGTAACTCTTTCCCTGTAAGTTTATTCCCTTCCATGTATTCTTTACATTTTACTTCAGCCTTGAAGTGTGTCAGGGTTGTTGTGGCTTTGTTGTTGTTGGTGGTGTTTTTAATATGTATATAAATTACTGTTATTTTTATTATCACTTGTTTCATTATTCTAAGTATTTTAAGGCAGCCAGCTCTGTACTCCAGTGGCATGTGTGTGGTAAAATCATGAATTCAACAAGACTCCACAGAGAAGTACCACAGCTGCCTCAAAGGACAACAGTACAATTTTAGATGTTATGTAAGCAAAAGTAACAGACAGACTGGGAAGGGCAAGCATTTCTTTAAGAGTATGTGATTATACCCAACGAATATAATTGTCTGATTCAATCAATTTTTTTCTTAAATATAAAACAAATTCTTCTGTGCTGTTTCCAAGAAACAACATGCATTATCAGAAAGGAAAGCTGTGAAAGGTTTTAGTTCAAAAAATTAAGAATGGAAGTGCTTTCTCTATTTGTCTACAAATAATATACTTGAAATCCAGAATGCAATTTTTTTACAGGGAATGAGAGTTACAAATTCTCCTCTACTTTGAGTTATTTTTCAACTCATTTCATTGAACTTTAACTGTGGTGGTCATGTGGTCTTTACTTGTACTTTCAACAATGTCTAAAAGTATCAGTTAAAAAAACTAATTGTGTCATGGCTTTGTTGATTTATAATAATTCAAGAGAAGTAGTACATAATTTTTTTCTTACACATGTTGGACAACATTGAACATCCCTCTCAAACAATCTTGATCCTCTCTGTTTTTTCACTGTAGTTGTTTTCCTCAGCTTCCCGTTACTTGGCACCGATGACTTAAATCCTCCAGAGGAATTCAACTATTTCAAATCGCTTGAGTGCCACTTCTTTGAATCAGGATTTTTGTGATAAATCCAGGCCAAGGAAGAAATTTTTTTCACTTTTTCACTAAGAACAGCTGGTCCTTTACTACATATTCATTCAACAGGGAATACAGCAGTTGTATGCTTATCTGATCTCTTTCTGACATATTCCCGTGGCTAAAGAAGCTTATTAAATGACAGTGAACCAAATATGTTGTCTGATGTCTCTGTTCTCAAATGGCCTTAGTCCACCAGGGACAAGCATTCTCTAGCAGCTGCATCTGCAACTCCTACTCACAACATGAACACAGGGCACTTGCCACTTCCATTCCCAACTCTTATTTAGGAGTCAACACTGCAGTTTCTTAGGCTGTAATTTCAAAATCAGGTTAGATTTGATAGCATTTCAAAATTAATTTTCAAATTCTTTCATAATTTTTCAAATTCATACGTGGTTCTTTGTAGCACCTACCTTTTTATGTTCCTTTTCACAGACTGCTGAGTTTGGGGATTTTGAGCAAGAGTCCTTTTGGTGTCAGCTCATATTTCATGGGCAAAAACATTAATGCGACTAAATTTTGTGTGCATTGTCCCACTCAAAGGAAGACCCCTGTCAACTCCAGATCAGGTCCTGAGCTGCAATAGGAAGAGCACTGCCAGCTGATCAAGGCTGGTCCTCCTTCCCATTCCCTCAGCCCCTCTGAGACTCATCTGCACTGCTGTGCTCAGTTCTGGACTCCTCAGTACAAGCAAGACATAGATGTACTGAAATTGCTTCTGTGCAGGTCATCATGAAGAGGACTAAAGGACTGAAGCACTTCTCCTACAATGACAGGTTGAGAGAGCTGGAACTATTCAGCCTGGAGATCAGAAGACTCATGGAAGCTCTTAACATTACATATGAATACCTGAGGGAGGAAGACAGTAAATAATATGGAGCCACACTCTTCTCAGTGGAGTTCAAAGGAAAGACAAGAAGCAATGGACGCAATGAGGGTTTTCACTATGTTCTCAGTGAAGAATGTTTCCCTAGTACCCAGTGTGAACCTTCAAACTGCCATTTGTTATCCCTGATTGTTTTTACACTCACTGGCACTACCAACAAGAGCTGGGCTTCCTCACCTTTGTACCTCCCCTTCAAGTATGGAGAGTTGCTACTATGTCATCCCTTAGTCTGTTCTTCACCAGACAAAGCAAGCCCAGTTTTCCCACATCTCTCCCCAGGGAGCATGAGCTGTGAGCCCTTTACCACCTTGGTAAGCCTCTCGTGAACCCTTCAAGTGCCATCCTGGAAACTCAGTCACCACTTAAGCATTTCAACCTGGCTGAACCCAGCCCATTTGCACTTGGTTAAATTACAGGGAATGGTTTCCATCTTTCCACACCAGCTCTCCCTCTGTAGCACCATTTCTGAGTCACCCAAGGGCATGCTGTACTCATCTTGCTGACACTTTAATAGTTACACTTAGCTTACTCAACAAGTTCTGAGCAAGACTGTTAGTGTGATTATACGTAGGTCTGTGTGTTACTGGAACACTGCACCACTTTTCCAGCCATTTGCAAACTGTTCTCAGAACTCCTAGTGTAAAGAGCAGTTACAGAAGCAAATTGTCCTGACCACAGACCTCCCCATGTAAAAATTCTGATTAAGAATGTTATCAAGATTAAAGAACTGTCAATTATGCAATATTTCTTTCCTCCAGAAAATGTAATCAAGCATTCCTTCATGTTCTTGGTCAACATCACACACAGACTATGATCAGAATACAGAAGGAATAAAACACAGATGGACTAAGTGTCACCAGAGTATTTCTGTTCTCTGGAAAAATCTCTGACACACTTCAGCAACCACAAAAGTATTATTCTTTCTCCCCAGCTTGTACATGACTTGAAGCATACTGACACTATCCTAAACCTCTGAAGCTAGCCAAACCTGCATAAGTTTACATTATTTTTAATGACATCATGCCCATTCTGCATGTGCCAAGAGAAATTTTCTCATTTTGAATCAACTCTTGACTCCTGTGCTGTTTCCTACCTTCAGTCTCAGACTTCTTACAAAGCACATCTCATAAATACCAGTTCAAAGTTGTGAGCATGCACTGGTGTCATCTGGGCATAATGGTTTACAGGACTGCCACACAGCTTGCTTTCCAGTAACCATTCTAATATAAATGGTACTTTGAGTGACGTGAAAGTCATGCCTTAGGGTAGGCATGACAGGAAAGATTTCACTAGCATTTGAATCTATTTCCACTTTGTCAGCACCCATGTAAAATCAGCTTTCCAATTGTATTCACAGACAGGCACCTAATAGTACTCAGGGTGCAGACTAGAGAGGGGATTGCTTGTCCAGAGATACCTAAAAGCATCTGTGCAGAACAGCTTACCAGGTACTTGTTTAATAGCCAGGTTCACACTCTGGCTGGATTTTCATCTTATCTTCTGAGAATGGGTATGCAGGAGCTGAGCTCTTGTGTGTTTTATGAAAAGTCTAAGGCTAGCTTAAGGATATTCTATCCTTAAGATAGTATATTCTATCCTTAAGACAGCAATCTCTCAGCATCTTCAGCTATCTTTTATAAATGTAGTTCCCATAACACTAGCTTACACCAGGGCTTCTGAAAAGTGCTTTGCCAAGGAGTTTTCTAGGAACATGCTTTTAGCCCTCTGGACTGCAAAGTCTCCTTAGCCGGGATTGGAGCCGCCCGGCACACCTTGGCACAGGCAGCCTCGTCCCCTGCGCTCCCACCGCCAGGCGTCACCCTGCTGATGGGAACGGGAAAAATCCCAAACCGACCGTGTAAAAAAATGAGCAGGGAAGGAAATCAAACGGCACTTGCACAATGTGAGAGCATACCCAAGCTAGCATCCCTTGCAAAAAAAGTAACTAATGGAAAACATGTGGGAAATAGCCTTTATGCAAAGCACAGAAAAATATTATAATGAAGGTAATAACTAATTTAAGTTAAGCTTTTAACACAGGAGATACAATTATTCTGTCTTCTATTCCTTCTAAGGCAATCTCCTCTTTTCTTCCAGATGTAGCATTCAGCTGCAGTCTACGTCCATTTAACATCTACTGAAAAGGAGAAAAAAAATCTACTCCCCTTCCAAGACACAATGACATGGAACTTGGCATCGTTTATGTGAAGACATCCTGAGGAGGATACAATGAGCTCTACACAAAAACATTTCTGACACAAACTGGCCACGACTTCTTCAATGTCAGGAAGTCACTACATGTCAAAATATGCACTAAAACAGTGATTTCACAAGATAATGATAGTTCACATTACTGCGTGATTAAAATTTCAGGAGACAGCTGTCTTTTCAAAATCGCCAGCATAGGTTAAAAACTAACAAGCAAACAACAACAACAAAAAATTTACAGGATCATGGTACTTTAGGGGAAAAAAAATAAAGTGAGGACTGCTCGTATGCGAAGCAGGGATTAACAGGGCATTTTGTCAGGTTTAGGAGAGTGACCCGTTTGGAGGAACCGGCAGGGAAGGGAGAACCGAACGCAAGGAGAGCAGAAGGGTTCCCGCGATCCCAAGGGCCCCGGGGCGTGCTGTGAGCCCCAGCGCAGCCCTCACAAGCGGCGGGGCTGCCGGCAGAGGTCCGGCTGGTGGAGGCCAGGGGCGCCGGGGGGAGACCGCATCTCGGCACCTTCACCTCCTCCTCCTCCCTGCGGCGGGGCGGGCAGGGAGCAGGTGAATGCGCCCTTTGTCCGGCCGAGGGCCCGGCAGACCCGCAGCCGGGCGCTCTTTGGGCCGGCCGCTGTCGGAGGGGAGTACCCCCGGGAGGCCGCGCCGTCCCGCCGCCCTCCGCCCGGCACGGGGCACGGCGCCGCGGCTCGCACCCGCCCGGCGGAGGGGAGCAGGATGGGCGCGGAAGGCGGGGCCGCGAGGGGAGGTGGAGGCTGCGGCTGGTCTCCCCCGCCTCTCCTCTCCTCTCATCTCCTCAGAGTCCGGCAGGCGCTCCGCTGCTGTCCCGAGGCCGCCTTCCCCTCCGAGCGGCGCCGCCGGGCGCTGCCCCCCGCGGACGGAGCCGAGCCGGGGCCGCCGCTGCTGCCGGCCCCCACGGCGGGAAGGAGAGGCCGGGCTGCCGGGCCGAGGTGAGTGAGCCCGGGGGCGGACA